ATTTCGCTTTCGTATCCGCTGAAGATATCTTTTTCTATTTGCATCGCATGTTGCTTCTGCTATCATATCTTCACATGATGTTCCATTTCTCGCAGCGTAGCGTGCCACTAACAATGTGGCGATCAGCTGACAGGCCTACCATTCCCTTAATGCGAAAATCCGTTACACAGCGTCGTAAGTCAGACGATACGATTATCAAATTGATCTTCGACTGCTGTACATATGCTTTCCTCTACCAGGTATACTGATGCGCCTTTAGATGCTCGAGGAAAAGGTTCATAATAAACAGTATGATGTTTGCACAAAACCGGAACAGCTTCATGCTGTTACTGTTGAGGTCGCTTGAGCCGTTCTTTCCAATCACGCCTTTCCACTTTTCAGTTTCTTCTCAGACATGCGCATTAAAATCGCTCATTAGTATGAGGGACTCTGTATTCGGCACTTCAGACAGAGCGCACTGCACTTCCTCAAGGAATAAGTCATATTCTCCATATAAATTGGGCGCACAGAGCTGTATCAAAGTCACCGCTTTAGCCCGTTGTAGGTTCATTCGAAGGATTTGCCATTTTTGCGCTGACAGTGTTCCATTCAGTGATTCTATCACTCAGGTTGGATTCTGTCAGAACACGAAAACCTTCCTGAGTGCACGTCGTGATGTTTACTCCCGAGTGCTATAATGGCATCGTGCTGTTTGCCTCCGTTCAGAACCGATATCTTCCATTACTGATGTGTATTTTCGTCGACTTTTCGTCGATGTTCGGTAGCAGTTGTTGTGCTGCTACGCTGTCTTCTGCCTGAAAGCGGTGAGCAGGTTCTCATTGCCGACTTTTCGCAGCCTCCCACAATCTCCCCAACAGTCTCGCGGCTCTTAGTAACCCGGGCGGCGGCTGAGCTGATACAATTTTCGATGTTGACAATACCATGAACGACAGGTGGTTTGTTTTGCATATACTTCGGCGCGGTTTCTGACCCTCCTCCTCTGTCATGCGGGCTTCGGAACAGCAACATCACAGTTATGCAATACATGTGTCACGTATTTTTTCCCAGTATGGACGCGATGATTAGTGACACACTGCACATTTCACTGTCCATCTTTTCCTTGATACATGTTATTGATTTTTATTTCGATTAACCCTCTGTTTGGCATTGAGTTTTGCTGAACCGTTCATTTCAGTATAACTTTAAGCACATGAATGAAATGTTTGTTTTTATTTCTATCGTTTTCCAGCAATCTTGTGAGCATTCAGTGTATTTGCGAATGTTTGAGTCGTCTATTATTGCCTTCACTGTTTAATTATTTTTAAATTAATTTATTACTTTTTAAATTTACACTTCGTTCATTTCCTTTTAGTCTGGTGAACAGCGATGATCAGGCATATGTTGTTTTCTGTATGATGATCAGTCATATATTCTTCATAAATATCTTCATATTTGTTGCCTTTTTATATTTACAACTCCTCTCTATTCCTTTAAGAGCTGCGCAGTGTGGTCGCATTCGTACGCGCATTTATTATCCATTTTCATTTGATTTAATATCACCCCTGTGGAGCCAGGTAGATATATGAATAAGGTTGCATTGCCAACCGTATTTAGTCTTAGATCCGTGCTATCTTCTCCTTAACGTCAAGAGTGGTGCTCCTACCTATGTGCAACTGATATTTTTCTTTCACTCATTTTTAAGCTCTAGCATAGAATATACCATGTCTTTGAGCGTTTCTTCCTCTCTTTTCTTTACGTATTGCCATCGCTCGCCTTTATCTGCTCGCTGTCATTGTTTGCTGGTGTCTGCACACGATTTTTCTCATCGATCTGCTTGAGCTGGCTACAGGTTTGATGCCTGAATATTTCTTGAGTGCGTGATAGCCTCTGCCGTATATATTTACTTTAAACACAGAAGATCCTTGCTGATTTAGAAAATACCGAATTTTTGCAGACGCTCCGGGGGTAACGGGTGACTGAAAGTTTTTTTACGTTTATTGGTGGGTTCCTAAGATGAATAAAAACATTTGAACGTGTTAATGTATACATCTGGTATGCGAAAGAATTTGAAAACGCACTAAGCGGATACGTTGCAAAAGAACTAACCATCGCTTGACCACACATGAGAGGAGGTTCGAAGAGAATGTAAACAGCCCGTTGGAAGACTTCCATGGCCACCGAAAGATTAGCCGAAGAAGTTTATTGATCAGGATGGGCAGGAATCGGAGAAAACAAATTTATATCAGAGTTTTGGAGAAGCCTTCATCTAGCGATTGATCGGAAAAGGCTGATGATGGTATATATGCAGGTAGTGCTTGCTCTAATTGTCTAGTAGTAGTTTGGATCATTTACCGTTAATTTTTTAAATTTTTTGATCCTACAAACAAGCCAGTAAATTATATTGAACCGTTTTCTGGTTGGGAAGTTGATTCAGTAACACCTAGCTACAGTTGTCAGTGCCGCAGCTTGGAATAGCATAACCTAACATTCGTATACTGTGTAACATTCATATAATGTACAACGTAATACATGTCAGTTCTGAAAATTGTTACTCTAAATTTGCTTCTAAGTCCCATGAAGTAACGCTGATTCAGTATTTTGTTCGTGCGTTGGTGGTCGTACTGAAAACTGAAAAATATATAGAAACGGTTTATTTATACACATCAGCAAATTGGTCATCCTGGGGGTTGATCATTGCCGACGTTTCGACTCCTCTCTCACGGGCCTTCTTCCAGGAAAAAAACAAACCGTCGCCCCTGGTAAGGTCAAGCAATGATGCGAAAGGTGCTCGGAAATCGTGCAACGCGCAGCGGAGAAAGGGCAACCCCACGAGATTGCACAGGCTTCGT